TAATGTCTGTTGGTACAGACTAATAGTCCTGTCGTATGATAACCTCTGCGTCCCTTACAGGTGTACTTGTTGTCTAGTACTATAACACATCTCTTCAATGTCTGTTGGTACAGACTAATAGTCCTGTCGTATGATACCCCTACGTCCTTTACAGGGGTATTTTTTCATTCATCTATATCATTGCATGGGGTTATACCACATCTTTTCTTTCCAATACCACTGATATGCGTGCAGGTGTTTCTTAATCTGTATTGTTTAGCGTTGCCTTGTGTCAAGTGATGAGCTATTCATAGTTTCTTATTGTTTGGTTATTTGGGTGTCTCGTTTGRTCATTTATTGATTGTGTTGATGTAATTAATATGGTTGTCGCTTAATGGGCTTCCCGCCATGCGAGGGGATTGTGGTTTGTCTCACGTTGACTCACTTATTTCTCGAAGTTTCTTTTTTCCTTGCTGGCTCGTTCTCTTCGATTTTTCATTCCCTAAAACATACTGCAAAAAAAAAAAAAAAACAACAAAAAACAAAAAAACAAAAAACGCGCATTTCCATGATGACACTGAAAAGGCTTGCCCATTCAAAGCAACGTAATTGGAGAGTATAGATTTTCCTACTTTTTGATTGGTGCCCAGTGAAATCCATTCTAGCATCAACAGTACTGTACATCTTTCATATCTACTGAACACACTCTAACGTGTGCGCACTGCCCCCACCATTACCCCCATCGATGCGTTAAATTTCCAGGATACCAGTTTTGGGGTAATTAAGTAATATAATAACTTTGCCTCAATCGTTTTTATCTTTCGATAATCTGTTGGTGGTTAAGTAAGTCTGATGCTCCTCGGTGTCTGCTATTTATCAAGTTAATTATTTTTAGAAATCCACCAGAAGAGGATATTCTAGATGTTTTAGTCTTGTGATACGATCAGCGACTCGGCAACATCACTTGGGTGCTCTCTACCGAAGGGGCACGCGATGCAAAATCACGCACATATTTTTAGAGCATTTTTTGTATGACTGTGAAAATTCGGTGCCATATGCGTGACTCACCGTGACCGTGATGTTTTCTAGAATTTTGATTGGCGAATTTTTCCCCCGCACGCAATGTATTTGGTCTAGCAGTGCCATGACCTTGGCGTGGCTTTGCCCGTGCCGTGTTCATGTCGGGTTTCGGGCATTTGATTGGATGGATAGTAAATTCTCTTGCAAYGTAATTGGTCTGGCGTATGCCTTGCCGTGTCACGACCGTGTTCGTGCGGTGAGCTTTTTAAAAACTTTTCTAAATATCTAATGAGTGACGGTGCGAGATTATCTAAAATTTGCTCGCGAAGAAGAAACAGTGGCCAAACAAAGCCCTTTGCCGAATCACGGGGCGCGAGATTACCTCACGAAGTAGACGCCATCTTGGAAATATGTCCCCTAAAACAACCCCACAATGCACTGCAATGCCAACTCGACCCAGTTTTTTCGTCATCCTCGGAATGGCTAATTCGGTAAAACCACACACACTTACATTTTGATAAGCCTTGTTTGCTATCCTACCACAGGTGTCCCAGTCTGATATCATACTGTTTTGCCTTGCCTGGTATCTATCGAGTGGTGTGCGTCAATGGATTATCTACCTTACAGTGCATCATCCTGGTACAGACCAAACCACGTGACTACGTCATTAGAATTAGTCCTCAAGGATTCGAGCCAGGTATGTGACGTCATGCTGTTGAATATAACCCAAGGGTTCCCTGGGGTTCTACTCGTGGCGTACTTTATAAGTACCAGTATTTTACTTATATATTTAATCTTTAGATAAATAATAATAACGATAATATTCTATCATTAATGTATTTGTTACCATGCCTATTTACAGAGCTCGGTAGTGTAAAACAGGGTGACAGAATTTGGTGGATGTGGACTGAGGAAGAGAGCGATAAGTGTGGCTTTCTCATTAAAGAGGTATAAAACGTTTGCATTCTTTCCATACATGCATTTGACTGTCATCTAAAAGATACCTGTTTGGTCTGGGAGCCCCGTTAATAGTGATAATTTTTTTGACCCGCCGGGTTTGTCCTCCTCGCTTGCAATAGACCTCTTGCATGTGACGTCAAAGGAGCTCAAATTGGAGGATAAAAGCAAAAGMTGCGAGAGCTCTGTTGCTGGTTTGAAATCATTAGCAAGAGATCGAGATAACAAAAGGCATTGCGGCCATGTTGGATGATATAACAAAAAAGACTAATGATGAATTCATTCAACATGTCGACTATAAAAACTAGCTATTTATTGAACGAATGCATGGGTGGAAGTGTTTGTAATATTTAATAATCTTATATCATATTAATAATTATTTTTAATATAATATTCAAAAATCTATAATAATCTTTTTGTCTATTGCGGATTTCTAGGAAGAACGCATCGCAGCCGTCAGTCAAGACTTCTTGGGAACTAGAGAAACAGGTTTGTCTCTTAAAATCACCCGGTTCTGTGCGGGACGGTAATAATACTTTGTCATCCATCCAGAGAGCAGTTTTTTGAATAGACCCTTTGCAGATTAGCAATCATATGCTGATTAATTCACTGAGAGCAAATGAATGAACATTTTGATTCCCATGGATGAAATATACTGGTGAGCAAGCAAACTTTCTACAACCTGTTTTGAGTGATCGTAATAAAACTGTATTTCGTGACACACTGGTTACACATCGTTTCATTCAGTTCTTTACAAGTAGCTATACAGAATCACTAATTAAAATWAAAATAAAAAATTTTGCTCACCAGTACAGACATGTGACCGTTTACTGCAGATGGCCTATTAAGAGACACGTCTATTTGTGATTTTACTGGGTGGGATTCGTTGGGTCACCAATGTCCCTTGATCACACTGCGCCATGTTCATTCCCATTAGAATAAAAACCTTTGTTTAAATACGCGTAACCTCTTTCCTCACCCACATGGAGCCCAATACGTGAATAGACCATGTTCGAGTCCCATTTACTGCTGTGTTCCTTGATTGCATAATCATTAACTCTTGCTTAGCCTCGAATCAGTCTTTAAATATTCACAAATACCAACGGTAAAGTAAAGAATGCACAACTTCAACAATACAAACAATTTGAAATTCCACAGTCATTCACTGGAACACATGAAATATTCTACACAAAATCGAGGATAACCCTGAGTAACAGAGAACTCGAAACTGGAGTATTAAGCGGATCCTAAGCGAAGAAACCCTTTAGATTATTTTTTTCCCGTCGCGCATAGCATTTGTATATATAGTTTTAACGTGATTGCGCTTCTAATTCTAGTTATAATTTCATTAAACCTCAGACTGCAAATGCTTTAAATCAAATGATCATCTTTCGTCAATCGGTCAATATGGTCTCTTGTTCAAGACTGCTGATACACCAGGCCTGTTTACATACCGTGTGAAAGCTATAGRAGACTGGTCTCCACCTGAGCGTGATGTTTGTTCTATCATTGTACAAAGCGTTTGTAAGGTAACTCCTCATGATCTCAGGCCTAGGGCAAACGTCGAACTTTCCATGCACCGAACTTAATTACATCAAAGAATGCCGCCTCATTATCACCTGATATCCATTGTTTTTAATGAGTTCGGTGCATGGAAAGTTCGACGTTTGCACTATACCTTTGTTGCGGTAAAATGAAATATGATGTACGATTAGCAGTCCATGGAGGCTTTGCTCCATCACATGATGGCAGCCATGATAGGAGGCACAATAATACAGTATCTTTCCCCTGGGCAACTGAATTCTTTCTAATGTAAACCAGGTTAAACAAGATTCAATTGTTCCTACTTCCTGTCATAGMTGTCATCACATGATGGCGCAAAGCCTCCATAGAGGCCATTCCACCAAAAATATCATCTGAGCATACGCCATTACGCATTTCAAAAGAAGATTGTTATGGCCACCTGTCACGGTAACGTGGTGGAGTTGCTGCGCGCAACCATTAAATTTTACACTGTCTAACTTCGTAACTGTTGTGCGTAAAGTTTCCCAAACAGAATTGAGTTCTATTTCTGCAGTATTGCGCGCACCAGGCCTCCGATCAAGTTAGCATAACTTGCAATTTTTTTGCTGGCGTTGGCGCGAAATTTTTAGCCAATGAAATACGACTTGTCTATGTACCACTGATCAAAATGGTAAATAAAGAACACACAAGGATCGCAAACCATTCATTCTAGAACCCCTCTACGTGCCTAACGATTTTATTTTCCTCTTGTGTTTAAGAACCACGTTGTCCGTGTGAGTGACCACGGTTTTCAGCCTCAAATCGTGAATGTCCATCCTGGTGAAAGCGTGACATGGACTTGGCTTGACACCAACATATCACACACCATTCAGCAGGTGAACGTGAACGTCAAAATATTTTTGTGGAAGTTCCCTACTCTATAATAATTTTTTAGATATTTTTTTATTAATTTTCTTAGGGTAAATGTTATGTAGATTAGTATTTAGTATCTTGCTGTCATAACAGGTATCCCATGAAAGAACGCCAGTGGATGATGGTTTCCATAGCAACTTCTTAAGCCYCTCCCCAGATGCACTCAGTCACGTGTTCACAGATCTTGGTGTCTTCTATTTCACAAGGTAAATTTCTCCAGATCATTACCAGTTGATTTCAAGAATCTGTCATTGCTCATACCACTTGCTTGACTAACATATTAGCCATTCTGAGGTTGAGGAAAAAGACTGCGGCGACGAAAAAGACGCAATCTTCCATTGGAAGTATGTGCCATACAACAGTCCCACAATGCACTGCAGTGCCAACCCTGTCTTTTCTTCCTAAACGTGGGAATTACGAATACATTACAAGCACAGATGGTGCATGCTGCTAATGTGCTGGCCCACCCCACTTTGCACCAATCACAAATAGACCTCTTTACCTTGGATGTGAATGTTTTCCCATTACATACCACGCGTCATTACCTAGAGTACCATTTCTTTGTTTAACAGTAACACTTAAGAAGACACGTGTATAGGATACAAGAGAATGACACGTGGTCTAAAATGGGAAAACATTATGCTCAAGGTTAAAGAACGAACAAGGAACCGATGCTTTCCCTCCCTGGCTAACTTATCTAACAACAATAACAACAACAACAACAACAACAATAACAACAACAACTTTATTGGACAGGGTACACCGTTACCATACTGATAATTTGGTGGCCCTCAATATATTATAAATATACAACATACAATATAAAAATATGCATATACAATTTAAAAAATATTATATAGTAGGAATTAAGTTAATCTCATCYAATTCTTTTTCTTTCTACTTTAAGTGCCAACTTGTCATCAGTGTATGGTGCCGTTGTCGTTACGGCAGGGAATCAGGTATTTGAAAATCAATTTCAATTTTTATGCGTTTTCCGCCATGTGTCCTTCTCTTTAGTGTTATTTATTTGTAGTTTAATATGGACGTACATGAAAGAAAGAAACCAATTTCCAAGAGGATGACAAGTGGTATGACATAGATATAAGGACCACGTCCAGGCCGCAAAGGTTTAATATTACCTACTTGGTCACCTACTTGATCTTGTTACCCTATACGATATCGAGTGTGACCCCCTGGGGTATGGGTGCGGGGTAATACCAACTTTATCTTGGTGTTCATATTTCTCTTCTCTTTCTAGGTGCATAAAATAGAAGTTACCCTACACGGTATCGAGCCTGACCCCCTGGGGGTACGGGTAGGGGATATTGTTTGTTGGAGGTGGAGTAGTGACCAACTGTACAGCATTAATGCTATCGAGTCACCTGACGAAATCGAAAACATCGTCAAGACTCAGGATATTCCTATACAAAGGTAGGAGAGTGTAGCATATACATAGAATAGGTTTACGCATGTCTATGAAACGTTACGCGATGGTGTCCTTGAGAATCAAATGTGGCGTAGCGTTAGTACACTCACCTCTTGGGTCCCGGTTTCGATTCCTTAACTGAGCATCATGTAAGTAGAGTTTGTCAGGTCTCTCCCTTGTTAAAGGGTTTTTCTCCGGTTTTTCTTTTTCAAGAAACCTAACTAAATTCTAATTCGATCTGTAAGTTGACTGTGACCAGATTTTAAAGCACTTTTAAGTCACACGCGCCAAATCGTACAATTTTCTATCGCCATAAACTTCAAATTTTATCGAAAACAAYTTCTGTGCTGATCAAAGTCAGGGCGTGGCTAACTTATAGATTGATCCCTGAAATAACCTCTAGGGTGATCTAAGTCAGACAAGGCCGGCTAACTCACAGATTGAACTCCGCCTGAAACAATCTCTGGACTGATCAAAGTCAGGGTATGGCTAACTCACACATTGATCCCTGAAATAATCTCTAGGCTGATCAAAGTCAGGGCACGACTTACTCGCAAAACAAAGTTTCAAAGAACCTCTGGGCGGATTGCAGCGCTTCCCAATCAAACGCGCGGAAGCGAACAATTTGCCTTCTTGACAAAGTAGGTTTTGTTGGACGTCGATCAAGGCTTTTCCATGACCTTCCACAGGCACACAAAGAAACACTTTGATTGACATCCACCAAAACCTTTTTTAAAATGGTATTTCTCCCTTAACTCGTAGACGCTGCGTTGCTGCTACCTTCAAGACAACTGGAATATATCACTTTTCCTGTACAGCTTACCTCGGGGACGAGGACCAGGTAAGTAGTTAAAGATAAAAGATAAAGATACAGGAAAACACCAAAGAAATAGTAAAATGTATGAAGAAAAAATTGCAATCTCTGTATGCTTCACATCCATGATAATTGTGAAAGGTATTTTTTTCTTTATCGAAACGCTTTACCGGGTTCTCGCGCGATAATTTCTTTGTCCAATTTGCAGGTCGTTTCTGAACAGATTAACCCTAATCCGAAAGCAGCTAAAGTAGCCACAGAGATTCTTAAGACTAACTCAGGTCAATTATCTGAGCAAAGTGATACTCTTACTTGTCTCTGATGATGAGGAGGAGGAGGAGGACGATGGTGGTGGTGATGATGATGATGATAACAACGATGACGACGAGGATAATGATAAAGAAGGAGGTGATGGTGGTAATGGTTGTAGCCTGCCGTAAAGAACGAGCCGACACTAAAAACGTCTGCACGGCAGGCTATAATGGTTGATGATGATGGTTGATGTTGAAGATGGTGTTGATGATGTCGAAATTGATGATGATAATGATGATGGATGGTGATGTTGGTGGTGATGGTGGTGGTGATGGTGATGGTGRTGGTGGTGGTGRTGGTGRTGGTGATGGTGATGATGGTGGTGATGGTGRTGGTGATGGCGATGGTTGAAGATGGTGATGGTGGTTTTGATGGTGATGGTTGAAGATGGTGATGGTGATGGTGATGGTTGAAGATGGTGATGGTGATGGTGATGGTTGAAGATGGTGATGGTGATGGTGATGGTGATGGTTGAAGATGGTGATGGTGATGGTGATGGTGATGGTGATGGTGATGGTTGAAGATGGTGATGGTGATGGTGATGGTGATGGTGGTGGTGATGGTGGTGGTGATGGTGATGGTGATGGTGATGGTTGAAGATGGTGATGGTGACGGTGACGGTGACGGTGACGGTGATGGTGATGGTTGAAGATGGTGATGGTTGAAGATGGTGATGGTGATGGTGATGGTTGAAGATGGTGATGGTGATGGTGACGGTGATGGTGATGGTGATGGTTGAAGATGGTGATGGTGATGGTGATGGTGATGGTGATGGTGATGGTGATGGTGATGGTGGTGGTGATGGTGGTGGTGATGGTGGTGGTGATGGTGGTGGTGATGGTGATGGTGGTGGTGGTGGTG